CCACGTGTCACGGGAGGGAAAATGGCCGCGGATCCTGTTCGTCACCTGATTCGGCGTTCGCGAATGGGGGCAAGATTTTGCGAACAGAGCTGTTCGTGACCCGAATTGGTCGTGAACAGAAGCGTTCGTGACCTGAGGTACCACTGTATTATGAATGCATATAATAGTCTTCTGTATATAACAGCCATACAAGGCAGAAACAAAGCATCTCATAATACCTTAAAAACTAACATATTCTTGCTTCTTTATCTTATTCATTTTGCATTTAAAACCTTTTACCATTTTCACCAAGCAACACCTCAAACTGAATGTCCACAATAAACATTTTGCAAACAGAAATTAGTACTCTGTGTTAGAATCATAAGCAGTAAGAACTTATGTTGGTATAATAAACAATTAGGGTGATTCATTGACTTTGAATGGAGCTTGGGTGCCAAGGGAGAGTGGAATTATTTAGAAGAGAGTTTTACCCCCAAAGAACAAATGATCTGAACCTGTTTTTTATCAAAAGAAAAAAAAAACCACAATTCATTTACATGAAATACCAAGTGGAAGTAAATAAGGAACATCCAGACCTCTCCTAACATTGTCCACCTCACAAGGATAGAGGATATCTTTTTTAAGTTTTATAATGTAACAATGAATAGATGAGGCACTAACTTGAGAGCAAAGCAACCCTTTTCACTGAGACCAGGCCTTCTACGTACTGCTCTATTTATACTCTGTCACATTTTGACCTTTCATAATGCTCTGCAAATTTCATTCTATTCTGCCGTAAAGAAAAAATTACAGCCAAATGGATATAAGGAAGTAGAATTATGTCACAAAATATTGCAGAAATGTGTTAATTTTCACACTGGAAGTATGTAAAATGATGCTTAGTGGAAGTATGAAGGGAATAGAGGCTGTAGATGACAAAACAAGTTAGGGAAAGCATGTTGATCCTGGCTTCTTGAATTTTTTTTTTTTTACAAATCCTTTACCAGCAGAAGGCATCTGTATTTTCTTTTGTGTAATGAAGTAATGTGTTCTGTTTGTGTGTGTGCTTTTCTGCTTTTCCTTTTCATTGCATCTGTGTTTGTATGTGTGCACTGAGAAACACAGGACAGGCTGCACATGCTCTACTCTGGATCACATGATCAGGAAAAATAAGAGCTTAGAATGGAGCAGTTAGCAGCATTCTTAGTTGTTGCCCAACTGCCTATCCAACAAGGTTAAGGGGTGTATCTTCTTCAATCTTCCTCTCTGCAGACCCAAGCCAGATATGGCTCATTTTTGAATATGATCTTTCTTTTATGGTTTCTCCCACCACACCAATTTTGGTTTCTATCTGATCAGTTTTTAGAGACTTATCCTGTGGATTGACAGACCATCTAATTCAACCCAGGAGAATAGGGAGTGCCTGATGAAGGTCCTGTCCTATCAGGAGGTATGGTGTGAAGGGACACTGAGCTCAGCATTCTCAGTGGCTGCTCCCCTTTTACTGTATGACCTCCCAGAGAATAGTTAAAACCCAACTTTTCTGGAAGGTCTTTGCTGATTAAGCAGAGAAGATCTGCACTATTGTTGTCTGTTACTGCTTAGTTTTGTTGTTTTTATTAGGTTTGATTTTGTACATGCTTAGAGCCTCTGGAATGAGGAAATTTATTAAATAAACAAATAGACTGAGGATCAACAGAGTGGTGAGCCACTTTATATAATTTCTTTTCAATGTTCCACTGGGCTGGAAAGAATAAAAAATGTATAGAAAAGAAAGATAGCTTAAAAAAGATGAAAGGAATATTACTATGATATGTATAGATAGGAAAAGATAGTTGTTAACAATGTAGTCAAAGAGAACAAGGACTGGTTAAGATTAAAAGAGGCACAGGAAATACGGAGCAATTCTGAAAGGGAGCAAAGAGGGCTAAACATGCACAAAGTGAAGCCAAAGTGAGAGAATGCTGGAGGATGCATTTAGAGATATGTATAGGATTGACACTGATATATCGAGGAGCAGAATTGCAACAAATGCTATATATGCTAGTGCCCAAGGAAAAAAATGATGAAAGAGATGTCATAAATGCTGTTAAGTTCAAAACTAAGGTTGCAACTACTTTAGTGGTGGCAGTGCAACAGTGTGTGTGTGTGTGTGTGTCTGTGAAGATCTCATCTGTGCCTGATGACTGGAACAATGCCTTATTATTCCCTCTACAAAGGGAAAGGGAGCAACAGTGAATACAAAACCTACAGAAGTATTAATCTGTTAAGTGTGCCTGGAAAGATGTAATTAAAATGATACAAGAGGTGACAATGAACAAAATTTGGGAAGGAAAATGTGTCTTTATGTTGGGTAGGGGCATGCAGACCTGATTTCTGTTGTTTAGCAGGTAATTGTATTTGTGAAATGTGTCAAAGTAGGACAGTTTATTGTACATTGATTAATTTAGAGAAAGTGTATAATAAAGTGAGTATGCAAGAAGTATAGAATGTTTTGCACAAATACAGAGTTAAAAGTTGTTAGCTGAATGCAATGCATTATCTAACTCATGCATGAGAATAAATGGAATACTTAGCAAATGGCTCAACCCTAAGAAAAGAATAAGTGATGTTCCCTTGGTTGTTTAACATATTTATGAATAAATGAATAAGGAATGCTTTAGCAAATATTAGATAGATGTTTATACTGCAGTGAAGAAAATAGATCTGAAAATTAATATATCAAAGACCAAGGCAATTGTATTTGACAGGGAAAATGGAATGATTAATTGCTAATTATACAGAAATGCCAAAAAAACTGTAGCAAGTTGATGAATTTATGTAGCTTGGTAGAATAATTACTAAAGATGAGGAAATGGACAGTGAAATTGTTAGGGCATACAAATAAATGTTAGTAGGAAGGTAATGGGTAATCTATTATCAGGAAAGTTTGTAGAAAGAAGGAAAATAGCTGTGTATAGGACTGTGTTTCTGCTCAGTTTGCTTTATGGAAATGAGAGGTAGATATAGTGAGAAGATAAAAAGTAACTTGAATGCAGTACAAATAGGGAATGTGTGTATTGTGAAACAAGATAGGGTCAGAAATTAATGGGTGATAAATGAATGAGGATTGAATACAAAAATGAGTGACAAGTACAAAAAAAAGTACATTGAGGTAGTTTGTTCATACAGAGAAAACAAATCAGAATTGAATCACAAACAAATATATGAAGAAATAATGAATCGGCTGAGTAGAAGAACCCTGAGAAACTGGGCCTGGATGGAGTTGATGAGATCTTGAAAAAGTGAGAATTTTAAAGAACAAAAGGCAGTGAATGAAGCCATGTATGAACATGACGGATTTTCAAGGACAGAAAGATATGGAAAGAACAGTGAATGGTAGTGGTATAAACTAAATGTAATAATATTTTGTTCTTTTTTCTTATCTCATGACTTTAATTTCTTTGGCTACGTCTTACTTCCTTTCCAGGCAGAATTTAGAGTCCTCCTAAATCTCAAAGAAAGTAGATTTAAGGAATATTTTCAAAAACAAACTAAAATCTAAACCTTTAGGATTATACAACAGCAATACAGAGCATTCTAGACGTATCTGCCTGGGGTGGTGGGGTGGAAGCTATATTTAATAAATGTTCTTGATTTTTGTTTTGTAAAAGGCAGTCTGTTATCTTAAGATTACTGAAAGATTACTGAAAATTCTAACATAAGAAAATCACTCCAAAAAATAAGCAATTGTCATTTTTCCATTTGATTTTCTTACTATCTTTGTATTCTAAAAGGAGGATAGAAGGGGAGACAACATGTATCTAAGCAGAAGTTCTGAACATACAATACTTCTACTATGTCACCCAAGGAAAAGAGAGGATATACATAAGTGTTGCATGTTGTTTAATGAAAATTGGCTTAGGCAGCATTCTAAGGTTCTTAATGGAGCCCAATGCTTCTTAGCTGCTTGGGAAGAGCAGAAAAAGAAGGTGGAATCTCCCCTTCTTTTTTTATTGACCCTTAGACCAGTACTGGTTTCAGATGCATTTTCTGCTTCTCTTCTCTGACAACCAGTAGCTTATAAAGGAAAGTAGTTTTACTCTATAGCAGATTCTCTAGTCAACCATGCTTTCCCATATAACTGACACCAAGGTCCATCTGTAAAATCCATAAATGAGTTATTGGCTTAGTAAAATGAAATTCAAAATAAATAATGTATTTTATTAAATGAGTTTTCCAGTTAAAATAACTCTTCCTTTTAGGGGAAAAAGCAAAGGAATACTTTTTCCTATTATAACGCTTTATTTACTTATTTATAAAAGGGAGAGTTCTGTGTTCTTACAAGAGTTCAGAATCTCATATTCTCCACCATGTTTATTTATTTATTTATGTTTCAAATTTGTCACCACCCTCTCACTGCAGAGCAACTCTGGGCTGTCTACAGTAAAAAGAATATTAATTAAAATAAATATTAAAATACACTACAACAAGATTCCTATATAATATTTCCAAGAGACTGATATTCCCTAAGAGCAATTATTGCGCTGACCTTGTGAAATCTTTTGTGTGTTTTCAATGTCTGTTAAACATTAAAGCTATGCATACTTCTTGCTTCAATAATGATATGGAAGAGCTGCTTCAGATTGTGTAGTGTAACATCTCTTTAAACTTTCAGACTTCTGCACAAGCCCAAAAACAAATGTGGCTACTTTAAGGAGTTGCATTAAGGATACAGTCCTTAAAGCAGCTGTCTCTCTTTTCAAACCCATGTGGAAGCCAAAGAAGACACAGCTACTTCAAAGAGATACTACGTTCATGCTCCAATACATTCTGAAGTATATCTTCTAAATAATTTTCAAAGCATGTACAGTTCTACCAATTATTCCTCTGGAAATTTGATTTATAAATATACTGATTAGCACCATACAATTTTCCTCTGTGTGGTTCTCCAGCAAATATCTAAAATCATCTATACTACTGGCCATTTCAATAAGTGAATTATACATCTTGTTGGTCCAAAAGTAAATACTTGGGTTGAGTTCAATCCCAGCTGAATCTTTGAACATGATGATATAGTTTTCTTGAATGTGAAACAGATCTGGTTTGCCGCTGCCTTCTTTTTGGATGTTTCTTCATTTCCTACAGCCCTGGAAATGTCTGATGGATTCCCATCTATGTATTAACCAAGTCTAAACATGTTTTTTTTTTCAGTAGATGCTGGCACTTGTGAGTATTGTTCCTGAACATACTGTAAAAAACTCTACTTTTCTCTCACACATTTTTCAGTTCTGTCACATGTACTTTGTCACTTGTTCCCCCAAATTAAATATATTTTTAAGCACAAGAAATCTTGAAAAGTCAAGAACATGCTTAGTCCACCAAACACTTGTTGAATAATTTCTAGACAAAATTTAACTGATTGGCAAGTATCATAACATGTTATTCCAAATGTGAACGATTACAAATGTATATGAGACAGTATAACGTCTACTCTAACAATCCAAACTGGAATACAAACCCAACAACCGAGAAGATTGGCTATGGCATGCAAATATCTAATACAATAATATAATATAAAGTCAAGTTCAACAACAGCATTGGATTTTGAAATATAGTAGCATTACTTGCAGTAATCCCTGAGCTTTTAGGTAAACTAAATGCTCCGCCTCTGGACTAATATTCTAGACCAATAAATGAAATCCACAAATATCTTTCTTTGTAGCCTATAGGATTCTACTCTATATTAACTATCTTCACCAGAGAGCTTTCCACACTGCCAGATTCCAGGCCAAACATTCACAATTTCTTTATGCAGTAATGCCATCAACAGACACGACCCACCTGAGCTGCTGAAGCAGCAGGCTGCAAGTATTCGCTGGGGCTAACTGCAGCAGTGGCGGCCATACTGTCTCTGAATCTGCAAAAAAAAAAAAAAAGGAATTGTGATTAATTTGAATTGTTTTTCAATATTGACAGTAACATTTTCAATGTGCACAAGAGATATTGGTACTGAATTTGTGATAATTCATCAGTCTGTTAAAGTTAGTCACAGCATAAAACTGGAGAAGAGAATTGTACCCACAATTAAAATATTTTTTAAAATGCATTGTAATTAATCTTAAGCACTGTTTTGGAGCTGACAGATATCAATTAATAACCAGAAAGTTGGACTGCATTCAGTATGGGTTAGAAAAATAGTGTAAAAACTATTAGACTGGGAAAAATTTGCAGCATATTTGAGAGAATTTGACAGCAGTGTCATCATTACTTAGTAGGACTTGGCCTGATGTCATTTCAGGCAATGTTCATCACATTTGGAAAGAAAAAATAAGCTCTGATCTTCTGCTACCTCACCACAATAGAAACAATCAGCCAAATAACTGCAAGGTTAAAAGCCAGACGGAATTTAAGCAAAAGTTTTTACAAACCGTGAGCACCAAAATAAAACTATATGCATTGTTTCAGGTGCTTGCACATTCGTAATATGCAATAAGCTAAAAAGACTGTAATACTCACTAGTGGCTAAATGGTCAGCAGCAATTATTTTCTAATGATGAAAACTTATTCATAGAGTTCCCTATATGGGGAGTGTTCCAAAAGCAAATCTCTAGATTTTACAGCTGTGAAGATAAACTTGAAAACGTAGAGGAGATGATTGACAAAATGCAGGAGCCAGGGAAAGAAAGACGCTAACAGAATGACCAGGTTTTGGGAAGAAACAAAACAAAGGACTTTTAGCCCTCTAAGCACTGCTTTGTGCATTCTGCATAGTCCTGGGACTAAAATTCCAAAGGGAAAAGGTAATTCAGAGAAAGGGTCCCTGTGCATTCGGAATGACCTCTTCCTCTGCACCACCCTGATACGACCATCCTTGTCCACATCAAGGCTTTAGCTTACACATTTAGTCCTTCAGAAAGTGGCCCAATTTCCAAAGAGTGATATGCTGATCAATTAGCAGAGCCACAAGTAGAAGGCTCAATATGGATTCCAACTAGACTATGAAAATAATATAGAGAAGCATGTTGGTAAGAAATACTCCCAAAATTACAATTAGTTCTTTTAACAGGTACAGGTATCCTAGATGACAAATCTAGGTGAGCATATTTATGTAAAAGGCTCTTTATATACAATAGTTCTTCATCAACAATGCCTACCATATCGATGGAAGTGTAAAACCAATAACTATGCCAGTGATATGAATTCATTTTTTTAAAAGGACCATTTTCTTTTTAGAAAAAGGTGGAAAACGTTAATTTGGAATCTGAACAAACTGAATGTTTGTTGTAAACAACCATGGGTCTCCAGGGAGCGTGGCAGTATAAACAACATATCTCTCTAGAGAAAATAGGCCAAATATTTTACTGCAAATGTGGGCCTCTATTGCTAATAAATCCCTACATTAACTAGACTGGGTTCTCCTCATCCTACTAACTGCATAAGATTAGGCAAAATGGGATGACATTATTTGAAAACAGGATGAGAGAGAGAAAAATCTACCACTTTGATCATTACTTTTGGCAAACAATTAGGTTTCTAGGTATATTTATTTATTGAAAAGATTTGTGCAGCCACCCATCTTAAACAACTCTGGGCAGCTCACAATGGCAATGATCATATGACAAAGAGAAGAGAAATGATGTTTGTGGGCTTTCAAAAGGACAAGTTGTGATGGAATCAGAGAATTATATGACCATTTATTTGTTTTCGTAGGATTTTCTATGTTCTAACCTACATTCATAATGCACGATGGCTTTCACAGTTCAGAGTGTGGTGTGCTAGAAACCCACACCACAAGCTCTAATATGGCAAATTCTTATTTGCGAGATCAAAGTTATATATCATTCAAGCAGCAAGGAATGATTCAAGGATTTAAGCAAGCTTAGACTCAAAAGAAAAAAATCCCAGCCACAATGAAGTAACCAAGTATTTTTAATGTCATTTTATTTAAAACTTAACATTTTTTTTTTATATTATATGCTAAAGTCCCTACTTTTTAACTGGAGGAATCAGTTTCCATCATGACTTTCTGAGATCCTTAAGTCCTGGAGAGCAGTATTATTGGCTGTTGAACTCATCTTCCTTAAAAAGAGAGGAAGAAACACAAGCTGTGGGCTCAGTAGTCATCACCATTTTATTCTAAAATGTGGATATAGTCACACCAGCATAGGGGGATGCAGGCAAACAACCAGAGTATAATCAGATGACTTCAGTAACTTTTTGTCAGGTTATTTAAAAATGCACTAGAGTGTATGGGTATGCATTTTAGGGAGGGAAGAGGGGTATCACCAAGCTCTTCCAGAGTATCCATTCTTTTTCTTTACATTTAACTATCAGTCCCACTCCACTCACCATCTCTGATAAATCTTATTCCGCTTTTTCCACAATTTATTTTCTCTCAACTTTTAGGGCCTAGTGCTTTAGTACCTACAGCCAATTTGGTGTAGTGGCTAAGGTGTTGGCCTAGAAACCAGGAGACTGTGAGTTCTAGGCTTCCCTTAGGCCAGCTGCGTCACTTTGGGCCAATCATTCTTTCTTAGCCCAACCCATCTCACATATTAGGTAAGTTCATTGCCCTGAGTTGTCCAAAAATATTTTTAAAGGTGGGATAAAAATATAATAATAAATTTAGGATTTACTTAAAAATCAGTCACCAATGTGAAACAGAATCATATCCAATAACTGCAATAATAATCACATAATACAATTAGTGGTAAGTGTGTTGCGTGCCTTGTTGTTGGACTGTCTAGACTTTGTAACTGGTTGCACAGAACTGATCACTGAAGAGTAAACAAAGCCTTCTGGCTCACTAGACCAAGCATTTAGCCCCACAATCTGTGCTGCACCTTCAATGGAACGTGTCTCCTTCTAGCTGAATAAACTATCTTCAGGACTCCATGGACCACAAATTCTCCCTCAACCCCATTGGCTGGGTCTGCAGAAAACACTGACCTAAACTATGGTTGGCTAATTTGTGGTTCAATGTGTTGTGTGAGCTCCATCACTGTATAATAAACAGAGTTAAAGCAGAATTGTCATAAAATCTTAAAGGGATTTTATATATGCATATTTTACATACCCGAAGCATGCATAAAATAGCAATTGGGATTTTACACAGAAGCATACAGTGTGTGAACTGATTTTGTTCAGTGTACTGAAAGTCAACTAAACTGAGGTCTGTTAAATCAAGGGCTTTCTGTAATCATTTTATGCTTGAATGGGCTTCCAAACTAAGGCAAATGGATTAATTCAATAAACCATTGTGCAAAATACAGTATGGCTAAAACACAGCAAGGGATTGTGTTATTTATCATCAGTCCCCTGCATCCCTCACCAATTATATTTTACCCTCCTAATTACATCTGAACACAGAACTGATACTTGAGGAAACTTACCTGTTACTTAAGCCCAATGGATTGAAATGCTGAGTCTGACTTAACCTGATAGTCTTGTGAATTTAACTCCTCTTCCATCACTTATACTCAACTACGACATCTCTCTCTGTCTTGTACCTTTGCCCTGAACATCTATCCCATGATTAGAGGCTGCATCATCTCAGTCCATCTTTTTCTTATCTTTAGAATCCCACACCTACTTCTGTTCCCTGGTTCCAAGCACCCACCATTCTGATTCTGCATAGACCCTAGGCTTGTCCCAATGCCCTATAACCACTTACTTCTCATTGTCGTCTGCATTAAGTGACTATCTCAACTCTTTTTATGCACACACACATTCTCTACTGTAATCGACAGGACTGTCACTGCCCATCCTCCGGGAGCTCTTTTAATTCTCCATTCTTATGCCACTTTCTTCATCTACAGACGTTCATAACCCTGTACCTTTCAAAGTAGCCTGGTATCAGGGAAAAAAAATAAGTCGACATATATTTGAAGCAATAGTATTACACAAAGATCCATTTGCTTGCTTTCAGGTTACTGTTTAAAGTACAGGTATACCGCCATTAAAAACAAACCAAGCAACAACGCCAAACTATCAAGTATCCCCGTCATCTTCCCGCCTCTCGCTCTCTGAACACAAGAATAATGAATGGACATTCTCATTCTCCCCCGTCACCCATGCCTGTTTTTCTTATGGGTCCCCGAGGAGGCGGGCTCTTACCTTAGCCCCGCCCCCTTCCGGTCCCAGTTGCTTCAGCCCCGTTCGCGCGCTCCGGGCCCCCTCCCACGAAGGCCCCCCTACTCGCTTTACAGACCCCACCTCTTCCTCCATTTACCACCCCACTCCCATCTCCTGGATTCTCCTCCCATTTCTCACCGAGCCCGAACCCGCCCCGCCGAGCTCACTCACCTGCTAGAAAGGAGTCGCCAGCGGTCCGGACCCCCCTCACGGCGCCATCTTCCTCCTCCTCAGCAGACCGGGCACCGCCCTGTAATCCCCGCCCATTCCACCGAGAAGCGGCCAATCTCCGTTCAAGGATTACACCGTTTGCTCAATCAAAATGCATGTTGTTTGCTCAGATAACCGCCTCCGGATGATTGGCAACTGTTTTCACCAATCTTTTTCTTCTGCTGGAACGTCCAGTTTAGCCAATGGAAAAGAGCGGGTTTGACAATGACGGACGTCAATGGAAAACCCAATCGCTTGCACGGAATCACAAATTGACTTGAGTCCTCACCAATTGGTGTTCAGGGTAGAGTCACGCCTATAATTGATTGATAGACAAGGACTTGGGAGAAGAAGAGGGAAAACAAACAGAAATACAGAGCTTAATAAGAGGTGGGATTCCTTTGCGGGGAAGTTTCATTGGTCAAGGTCAGAATAATTACCTGGGAAGCCAATAGAAAACACGCACACGCACATACGCACAAGGGGGGAAAAAATCTATTATTGGTGGTGTTTGGATTCAACTAGGGCTACCCTACCTGTGCTGCAAATTCCGGAAGACCACTGGGGGGGGCAGCAACGGGCCAGACTTCCCTCTCTCCTTTTGCGCTCTTCTAGAGGATCTCCAGGTTTATGCACCCGGATAAGGCAGCCTTAGTGTTAGTGCATCAGCAGCTGCGCCGTTTTAGGGAATCTCTTAAATTGCGTTGTGTGTTCAGAAAGTGTAGCAGAGTGCGCCGAGGACTGGAGCTCAGCGTGTGATCTTTTAGCCTGTGTGACCGACATGTTTCCAAGTTTGCCCTTGCAACCTAGATTTTATTTCTTTAATAAACAAGGCGCAGCGTGTTATTTGACAAACATGCAAAATGTGGAAGGAATTGGCACGGGGAGCACCGTCTAATAAACGCTTAAGCGGTTGTCATCATTTAGTGTTCGGTGAGGCGTAAGTGACATTCCAGCAACCGATGATGCAGGTTGTCATAAGCATAATGACTATAATAGGGGAAGGGGGAAATCCCTGTTATTTATATTTTGTATCTGCAGCCTACTCCCTTAATGGCGCTGAGTAGTTTACAAAATGTAGGAAAGGTGCCCATTAAAAATAATTAATATTAAAACAAAACATGAAATTACAACTAAAGCAGTAGCCTTGCAAGGACTGAGAAAATACATGTTGAGGCCCAAGCTAAGGAGATACCTTGCCTCAGTTCCATAGAAAAATTTCCCCATATTATGGGTCCTATAACGGAGAAGGCTACATTGGTGGTGGTTGGCAACTGTTTTAGTAGTGAGACTCAAAAAAAAAAAAAATGCCCCATTGATGGGATAAGATGTAAAGACTATACAAAATAGGCCTTCCCATCAGCATACATATGTAAGGCGTTAAACATCACCATGACTGTAGAATTGGGCTTGGAGGACAATTTGTTTTTTCAAAACGGGGTAATGAGAGACCTCGAGGAGGTATCAATTGCCACTTGTATTGCCACATTCTGAGCTGGCTCCAATTTGTGGATTGTCTTCAAGGGTCACCCCACAAAACCTGTATTGCAATAATTTGGTCTCATGCACACACTTTTATCTTCCACGTAAGAATGCATTTGCTTTATTGGCCAAATATGATAAAAAGAATCTACTTACCATTGATGTCATTCCTCTTATTATATAAATTGGTTAGCAGGAGATAGCTCCATTTTATCTGGCATGAATAACTCCATATTCATAAAAAGCTTTAATTTATCGGAAGAGCAAGAAAAATGGAGTCACATTGCTCTGAATCAGGAACTGGGTCACAATTATATTACAATCCAGCATGGATTTAAGCATGTTTAAAGCCATCAACTTCAAACAGCTTAGTGCATTTTTCTTTACCTCCTAGTGGCTGAACAATGTCCATGATGTTTCTGCAACCACAATCCACATTCCAGTTGCAATTAATTTTTGGAAGTATAATTCTCAAGCCCATCCCCTTAATTGCTTCAACCATAATGAGATTTTAAGTCCAACACATCTGGAGAGTATCAGAGGAGGAAAACTGTTCTCTGCAGCCAAAAGGAGTTCAGGAGGCAAGCTGCTATTTTACATTATTGCCTTGCAGCCCAGCTTAAAAGTTAGAGAATATTCCAAGAGGATATTCCTCAATGCAATGGTCATTAAAATGAATGGAGTTTCAGCTTCTCTTACATAGTTCCCATTCATTAAAAAGGGTAGCATAAGATAACTTTTGGAATTGCCCATGCCCTTTCTTTTGGGTTGTTCTTTTTAAATATCTCTATTTCAAAAGTCACATTTAATCACTTTTGAACTTTGAGGATATACATTTAGGTGCAGATATTTTGAGCAAAAGATATGTGAGATTGAAGGTTCACACTGTGCTAATTTACAGAAGTTATGGGAGCTCATTGGGAGGGCATATGATACTTTCCTGAGTACAAATTGTGTTTAGTGACCTAGAGTGACCTCCCCATCTATTCCTTGTAACAAATGCTTTATAACTCTAGGGGGCACCAGATACTTTAAGAATAAGAACATTGGCCTGTGCTTAGAAATTGTGTAGATTCTCTTCCATAGAGAGAAGGGCCTATATTGCCTAGCTGTAGCAAAGTTAATCCTATTCCAGTGCTGCATTTTTGCCTGTTCACTGATTCAGTCAACTGTAAATTAAGGATGGAGATCCTGTGACTTTCAAAATGTCATTGAACTATAATTCCCACACTTACAGCCATCATGGTCAATAGTGAAGAATGTTGGAAATTGTCATTCAGAAATATCTGGATGACGACAGTTACCCATTTTGTTATTGACTTTGGCTTTAAGTCACAAGGGAGATGACGCTTTGAATTTCATTAATAACATAATTGAAATGGTGGTGAGATGCAAGAACAGAAAATGTTCTTGCACTTCTAACAGCATGAGGGAGGAGGAGGAGGAAGAATTCCAGGCAGTGAAGATAAACTGCTCCTGCTAATATCCCTACTTTATGTAATTACCAAAAGAGGTTTGCTAGTATTACAGCTGGTAAAACAAGAAACAGTTCAGAAGGAAAAAAAGATTTAGAAACCCATATTTTTTTAGACTCTGATGTATCTTCTGTTTTTAACTGACTGTACCCCATCTCCTTATGTTGGTTTATGACCATAATAAATATTTGATTTGACTAGGACCCAAGATCATATAAGGAAAAACTTGCAAAAATGGGATATGTTTACTCTGGAGAAAAGAAGCAAGCAATCAAAAGGTTGATGCTGGTAGCATGTGTATGTGTGTCTCTGTGTCTGTATACGTGTGTGTGTGTAGAACAAACAGAGAACAAATATAATTGTGTGTGTCCCTTGAGGACACACAGTGGCTCTTTTGAAACTGAAGTCTATTTGGAAAATACATATTAGGGCTGGGTAGTACTTTGGATTCAGAGGCAAAAGGTGTTTCTGAGTGTGCAAAGGCACAATGTTGCATCTGCCTACAACTCTTTAAACCAAATTCATACCTCCCAGGATTGCAAAAGGCAGCTGTACAATCTCTAGAAAATATGCAGCTGTTTTAAGGAGTTACAGACTTTGCAGTACGTACCACAGCATGTGCCAAAACACTTTTTTTTTTGCCTTCATATCCAAAGCACTGTACAACCCTAATATTTATCAACCTAGAGAGTTCAGTATTCAGTTACAGTGCTACTGGCGGCATGCCTTGGGTGCTATTCCTGTGTCACTCAGAGCTAGGAGATACATAACCTCTGTAAGTGGTAGCTACATTTCAATAGTTGCATTCACACATTATGCTACACCATGGTTTGCTTAATTTATTGTTGTTGTTGTTCAGTCGTTAAGTCATGTCTGACTCTTCGTGACCCCATGAACCATATCGCGCCAGGCCTTCCTGTCCTTCACTGCCTCCCTGGGTTTGCTCAGTTTCATGCTCATTGATTTAGTGATGCTATCTAACCATCTCATCCTCTGCCGTCCTATTCTCCTTCATTATCAATCCTACCAATGAGCAGTCAGGG